GAGAGAGAGAGAGAGAGACCACATCCTATAATTACTGCTTTTAGTCAGCGCAAGGTTTTGCTGGTTAGTACATTAACACGAGTTTGCAGATGCAGATGCAGATGCACAAGTCAACAAAAGTATGGATAAGTGCATAAATTTCTCAGAAATAAAATCAAAAGGTATATCAAGCAAGAAGTGCAAAAGCATACTTTCTCAATGTTCTCTCTTATGGCATACTTGCAAGCTCGCTGGCATATCTCTGTAATGTCAGCCCCACTGAAGCCTTGAGTATATTTTGCAAGAGCTCTCAAATCAACATCTTTGGAGACGGGTGATTTTCTCAGGCAGGACTTGAAAATCTGATGACGGGAATCTTCATCTGGCAGAGGGATATAAATCAACTGATCAAGGCGGCCTGGCCGCAGAAGTGCAGGGTCAATTATGTCAGGTCTGTTGGTGGCCCCAATTATGAAAACAGTCTTTTTAGCATTCATGCCATCCATTTCAGTCAGAAGTTGGTTCAGAACCCGATCAGCAGCACCACCTGCATCTCCAACACTGTTTCCTCTCTGAAACAACAAGAAGAAACATTGCACGCAAGCTGTGTAAATGATTTAAAATGTTCGTAATAAATAAGATGCCAGGCTTCTACGGTTAAGATGGGGTGTTGGTGGGGCTCAAAGTAAAGGGTTATGCATGTAGTATGGAATTTTAAACTATAATCATCAACATTTAGTTCGATGTTTCAAATAACAATCTCGAACTAAGATAAAAGAAAGTATGAAGAAATCACCTGAGTAGCAATAGAGTCGAGCTCATCAAAGAAGAGAACACATGGTGCAGATTGTCTTGCCTTGTCGAAAATTTCTCGAACATTGGCTTCACTTTCTCCAAACCACATAGTGAGCAGTTCAGGTCCTTTAACACTAATGAAGTTGGCTTGACATTCATTTGCAATTGCCTTAGCCAGTAGAGTTTTCCCACATCCAGGCGGACCATAGAAAAGAACGCCTTTTGAAGGTGACATACCAAATTTCTCAAACTTCTCTGGATGCTCCACAGGATATTGAACAGTCTACAAAATGAGAAGTTAAAAACAAAAGTTACTACAACAAAAGATATTCCAAAATATAGAGCTTGAGCCCAATTCAATGGTATCAGTTACCTCTTGAAGCTCCCGCTTCACATTCTCAAGGCCTCCAATGTCTTCCCAGCTAACATTG